TAGAAAACAAAAACAAAAACAAAAACCCTTACATCTTGTGTTTCCTCCTTAGCTGATGAGGGGGGCCAGTCCCTGAGCCCCTGGCTTCCCGGTGATAAGCCTGATGGAAGGATGACTTCCTTTATGGCAGCAGCAGTCTGGACTTGGATTTTTTTTTTCCCCTCAAAAAAAGCAAAGTGTCCAGTCTACAGGGAATTTCTACTCCACCACACATTGGCTAAAACAAGCTTGGGTGCGGCTCAGAGTTACTCGGGGTGGGAGGGGCAGGGAGGAGGGCTTTTCAAGCCAGAGACTGTTGAACTCCAACCCCAGAACTCCTGATTTAATAGCTCTGGGCTATGGACCTCAAATTTTGCATTTTTATCAAGTTCCTAGGTGATGTGAATGCTGCTTCCCCTTGCTTCATTTGCACAGGTGCCTGCATTTTTATTTTAGTTTTTCATAAGGATGATTTGATAATTTCCAGCAGAACCAGTGGCACTGGATATTTGTATAAGATACAGTATTTACTTAGGCCAAATAAACATTGTTTTAAACTCTGTAAAAACAGAAGATGCTGGCATCCTGACTTCCATGTGAGGTTCTCTGAACCCTGCTCTCTCTCGGATCTGTATCACTGACTCATATTTAGACCCAACGCACCTCAAGCAAAGCTGCTGTCAGAAGTGAGCAGTGCGCTGTTCTCTCCTGTCACCCACCCTTGGCCCCACTCTCCCCAAACTCTGTTTACACCAGATGTCACTTAAATATTTTTAAAAAGTTGATTTCAGAAAGGAAGGGAGAGGGAGAGACAGAAACATCAATGATGAGAGAGAATCATGGATTGGCTGCCTCCTGCATATGCCCTACTGGGGATCAAGCCCGCAGCCTAGGCATGTGCCCTTGACTGGAATTGAACCTGGGACCCTTCAGTCCACAGGCTGATGCTCTATCCACAGAGCCAAACTATCCAGGGCCAGATGCCACATTTTATATTAAAACATTAACTGTGGTCACCAAGTATATGCATAATCCATGGGCCCAAACAATAGTGTGGTGAAGGCTTAGGGCAGGTGGTGGGAATGGGCTAGAAGTCAATGGGGGAAAAGAGGGGGTATATGTAATACTTTCAATAATGAATATTTGAGAAGAGAGAGAGAGAGAGAGAGAGAGAGAGAGAGAGAGAGAGAGAGAGAGAGAGAGAGAGAGACGAAAAAACAAAACAGTAGACATCAAGGCTACTATATCTACTATTAATATAAGTCCATTTAAAAAGTAATTACCTAATGATAGGTCCTAATGTGAAATAACTAAGTTTATATGCATTGAAAAAATGTTCAGTGGAGCCAGTCAAAAGTCGCAGAAAACTTTTAACACAGTTGCAAGACCAGCACACCAGTGACTTTGGAGAAATGAAACTTGTGTCCTTGATTCACCAAAGGCCTTTGGCTTGAGCACTCTCTGTGCAGCTGTAATTAGAACCCAAAGGGTCAGTTTGGATTTTTAAACAGAATTGTCATTGACAATAAGACTTCCTATGCAGGCCCTAGCTGGTTTTGCTCAGTGGTTAGAGCATCAGCCTGCAGACAGAAGGGTCTCAGGTTTGATTCCGGACAAGGGCACATGCCTGGGTTGCGGGCTTGGTCCCCAGTGGGGGGTGTGCAGGAGGCAGCCCATCAATGGTTCTCTCTCATCATTGATATTTCTATCTCTTTCCTTTCCTCTCCGAAATTAATAAAAAATATATTAAAAAAATAGTTCCTGTGCAGGAAGAAAACTCCCTATCACCCTTTTATCGGGACTTGGAGAGAAGGATGAATTCTCTCCGGTGAATTCCCTATTTCATTGGTGCTAAATTTCACATTGTTTTGCACTGTAACAACGCTGAAGTCCACACACATCTGACAATGAAAGGCATTTTTATAATCGTGGCCGGCCAGATGGAAGCTGAGATGTATTGTCACTGCCTGAACATGCACAAACTTAGTGGTCATTCCTGGTGGGATGACTTGGCATTTGTGATCTCCATGTTTCTCTCAGCAAATCATATAAGAACTGTCTGGAAAAGAAACGTGCTACCTGCTGTCTAAAACCTTCTATTGACGCCTTCAAGTAAGATCAAGAATGTGCCAGCATCAAAACGTGTGCACGAGGGGTCAGTGTCTTGAGAGCTAACAGTGGAGTACGCTTCAGACATCTGCATCTGGTGATTATGGACACCAATGCCCCAGTCAAAAATGATTCAGGAGAATAGAGATTCTGGTTGTGAAGGAATGAGGGAAATTCCTTCACGAATATTTGCCTTTTTATGTTTGCATAAGATGACATGATAATGATGAATGTCTATATCTACAAGCTCACATTCAATACATATTTTAATGATTCCAAATGATAAAAAAATAATTACAAATAGTTTAATTGGAAGCATCTTTCTTTTTAACAGAAGCTCTCAACCTTTTTGAACTGAGGACTCAATTCATTTATTGAGGACCATAAAGAACTTTTGTTTGCCCTAACCAGTTTGGCTCAATGGATAGAGCATTGGCCTGCTAACTGAAGGGTCCCGGGTTTGATTCTGGTCAAGGGCATGTACCTTGGTTGTGGGCACTTTCCCAGTGTGGAGTGTGCAGGAGGCAGCTGAATCAATGTTTCTCTCTCATTGGTGTTTCTAACTCTATCACTCTACCTTCCTCTCTGTAAAAACAAACAAACAAACAAACTAACAAAAAACAACAACAAAAAACCCTCTTGTTTATGTGGTACTATCTATCAACATTTAAAAAAATATATTTTATTGATTTTTTTACAGAGAGGAAGAGAGAGGGATAGAGAGTTAGAAACATCGACCAGCTGCCTCTTGCACACCCCCTACTGGGGATGTGCCCACAACCAAGGTACATGCCCTTGACCGGAATCGAACCTGGCACCTTCAGTCCGCAGGCCGACGCTCTATCCACTAAGCCAAACCAGTTTTGGCTATCAAGATTTTTAAAAAATATATATTTTATTGATTTTGTACAGAGAGGAAGGGAGAGAGATAGAGAATTAGAAACATTGATGAGAGAGAGTCATCAATCAGCTGCCTCTTGCACACCTCCTACTGGGAATATGCCCGCAACCAAGGTACATGCCCTTGACCGGAATCGAACCCGGGACCCTTCAGTCCCCAAGCCAATGCTCTATCCATTGAGCCAAACCGGTCTCGGCAAGATTTTTGATATTAGAAATTTAAAGAGACTTTGAATACTGGAGAATACACAAGCACACGTTCCATTCTCAGTGAGAGAGATGACACACAGTCTCTGTGAAAACTCCAACCCATGTACACAGGTGAGAGAATGAAAGCAAAAAGGGGCAGATGATGTCACAGTGTTAATAGGAAAAGAGTTTTGACTTTGTGATACCCTGCACCCTTAGCCACTGGCATATAAAATAATGGTGTATTTTACACCATTAGAGTTAATGAATATGGTATTTGTCCATCTAAAATATTAGAAGGGGTAAAATCTTGGAGAACTGTTGTTGGACAGCTGGTGTAGCACTCTAAGGCACTGGGTATCCTGTAGGTCTGGGGACTTCTGACTCAGGGAAGGTACCGTCAGTGTACCTAGTGGAACTGGCTGTGGAGGAGGAGTATTGGAAAGAAGTTGGGGCAAAGATGAAAGGAGTGTGTTTGGTACCCAGGGGAGAGAGCTGGATTTTCTGGGGACCAAGAGGGGAGTTCCTGCCAGTGATGGAGATTTGGGGTGACATGCACATGGCTGTAGAAGACGGACACTGGGTACACAGGGCACCAGCCAGGTTCCCACCGTACAGGTGGGATTCAGGGCCCCATCCATGCAGGCATCCCCAAGGAGATCCTGGGGAAAGCTACCAAGGATTGCTGGCCAGGGCCTCTTCTGCCACTTTCCTGACCCGAAATCCTAAAACTGCCCAGGGAAGGAAGACCAGGGGAGACAGAGAAAGAGAGAGAGAGCGAGAGAAAAGTTGAGATTGGCTTTCTCCAGGAATTGGTGAGACCAGATTAGCTTTGATTTAGAAACTACACAATAAGTTACAGCTGCAAAGCAAAGTCCTTAGGAGCAGGCCTGAGACCATCTGACTTTGATTTCTAGCTCTGCCACTTTCTATCTGGAAAGGCATTGCCATGAATGAGCTCTTCAAACGGCGCCTGGCACATAGTGAGTGAGGGTCATCGTGTCATGTACCTTGGGTGTCCTGGAGATGTCATACCTGTACTGCTACATTCTTGGAGGGTTGGGATGGCTGAAGTTTGACCCCCAGCTCTATTGTTAACTAGATTAAGGCCTAACCCAGAGTCCAGGGGACCGAACGCAGGAACATATTCTAACTTGCATTAGTGCTCCATCTGGGAGTGGGCAGCAGAAGCCGCGTGGGAGGGTCCTGCAGGCCCAGCCCACCGGGCCAGCCAGGCCTTACCTGTTTCGGAAGAACCCAGGGCCTCCCTCAGGTGTGAGCACAAACTTCCCAGGACTCCGTAGGGGTCGAGACACTCCGCTCCTGAGTTCTCCTCAGGCTTAACTTTCCCCAGGGTGGGCCGGGCGCTCTTTGCACAATTGGGGTTGGAGGCGGGTAGAGACTGAGCCCGGAGGTGGGCGCGGGCCAGACCATCGAGGCCCTTGACGCCTGCAGGGACGTCGTCCCGGGGGCGGGGCCTGCGGGCGAGGGGAGGCCCACAGGGGGCGGGGCCTGCGGGCGAGGGGAGACCCCACAGGGGGCGGGGCTGACTGGGGCTGGGGCGGGGCCTGGGTGGGGCCTGCGGGCGAGGGAAGGCCCACAGGGGGCGGGGCCGGCCGGGGCGGGGGCGGAGCCTGCGAGCGAGGGGAAGCCCACGGGCGGAGCGGGGCGCCAGGAGGCCGGCCCGGGGCGCCACATCCGGCGGCCGCCCGGGGAGCATAAAACCGCCGCTGTCGCCGCCGCCGCCGCTGTCGGCGTTGTTCGCAGCCGCTCTGGCTTCCTCTCGGCCTCGGGAGCGTCTGCTCCCATGCTCCGGGGCAGCCATGAGCACCCCGCACTGGTGGGACCAGCTGCGGGCCGGCAGCTCGGAGGTGGACTGGTGCGAGGACAACTACACCATCGTGCCGGCCATCGCCGAGTTCTACAACACGGTGCGGGGCGCGGGGCTCGCGGGAGGGGCTGGAACCTGGCCGTGGCCCCGCGAGTACCGGGGCATTGCATTCTCATTCTCTCTCTCTCTCTCTCTCTCTCCCACCCTCCCCCCCCCCCCCCCGGGTCCAGGGTCCGCCCACGCTCCCTCCCCGCACGCTCCTTCCCGGTCCCCACCCGTCCTGGGGCCAGTTGCTCGGTGTCAGCCCGTCTCTGCTTTGGGCCGGCTGCGGGGAGCCCGCGGGGACCGCTCCCGGCCGCCCCCGGGGTCCCCGGGGCGTGACGCACTTGGGCCGCATTGTGCGGTTTTGCTCTGAGCACCTGCCCGGGAGCCCCGGGCACCGGGCGGCACCCCCGCAGGGCTCCGGAGCGGGGCCCACGCCTATCGTGCTCACTGGCCCCAACCCGCGTCTACATCCATGGTAGTAGGTCGAGTTCCTTTGGGCCGGAACCAAGTTAATTACTTATAGTTCTTACTTCCTTGCCTTGCTTGGTACCCGGTCCAGCGCCAGCTCCAGCTCAGCGCCCCCCGGCCAGGCGTGTGCACGCTCTGGATCTGAGGTCCGGGCAGGGAAAGGGAAACTTGGCAGTGATTGTGGACATGATTTCTGGACTTGTCTAGGTCTCCAGATAGTGCAACTTCCCCCCTGCAGAATCCTGTGTGCTTTTTAGTCTTGGTTGGAGGAAAAGCTTGGCAACTGCGAGGGGAAGACCTGTGCCCACGGCTCAGGGTTCTGGCACCAAATGCAGGACTTTGCTTGGTCATCTGAGTGGTTTATCTTTTCACGGGGAGCAACAGGAACTCCTGGCTTAAGGTTCATTGAGAAGTTGAGGTGGTTCTTTAGAATGTTCACCATAGATTTGCTGGAGGGAACGTTGGCGTCAGCCAGGTGTTTATAGCCTGGAAGGGATCTCTGCTGAGCTGGTCACTGCCCTCCTGGTCACTGATGAGCAAACCGAGCTTTTGAGAAGGGAGCTGTCATGGTGTCTTTTCTGGTGGGTGGGGGCCACAATTCAGAAGTCTGCATCCTGGGCCCTCTTATTGCTGAAAAGCATGGCTGCGGCTGCCCTCTTTACAAACACTCCTGCTTTTATATGGCCAGGTTAGTTCCTCAAGATCACCTTGTCTTCAAGGAGGGGCCTTATTTTGGGGGGGATGCCTTATATTTCACTCAGAAGGAAACCTGTAAGTAGGTCTTATTTTCGGAGGATGTTTTATTTTCGGGGGAACACGGTATGTTGATTCGTCAGTTGTAACAAACATGCCATGCTAATCCAAGATGTTAGTAATAGAAGAAGGTAGATACAGGTAGTGGAGGCGGCCACCCCTCACCTGTCGGACAGCCTTTTTCAGCCGTGCTATCCGTGTAGGGGGCGCCCACATCACTATGGAGCAGGACTGGGTTCTTTAACGGCGGTGGCTCAGGTTCTCCATTTGAAAGTGGAGACCACTACCAGGGATTTCACCAGTTAAAGAAGAAATGACAGCTGGGGGGACAGGGTCTCCTACTCTCTGCAGTCATTATCGGTGGAGTCTGAGGCCAGCAGAGAGTCAGGCCTGGTTATTTGGCCAAAAGGTGTATAGCTTGCACTGGGCCTGCCTTGAAAAGCCCCAGAGTGCTGGATACAGGGGGGATTTGTTTGGTTTCACTTTTAATCTGGTTCCATTGGAGCAGTTACATCGTGAGTGCCAAAATCTTTTTTTTTTTAGAAATCAACTGTTGCCCTGACCGGTTTGGCTCAGTGGATAGAGCATCGGCCTGCGGACTCAAGGGTCGGACCCAGGTTCTATTCTGGTCAAGGGCATGTACCATACGGTACTTTGGTTTCAGGCACATACCCAATAGTGGGGTGTGCAGGAAGCAGCTGGTTGATGTTTCTCTCTCATCGATGTTTCTAGCTCTCTATCCCTTTCCCTTCCTCTCTGTAAAAAAAAAAGAAAAAGAAAAAGAAAAAAAGAAAGAAAAAGAAAAAAGAAATCAACTGTTGATCTTTAGCTGTGACATCGTGGCTGATTAGCCCAGCTGGTCTGCCTGACAAACCTTACTCTTTGAAATACTTACAAGCCACAAAATGTGCTTCAGCAGTGCCCAGAGCCTAAGGTCTCAGGGAAGTAAGTGGCTGGTCACCAAACTTGGTTGGTCCAAGTGTTTAGCAAAAACCATAGCTTCTCTGTTCCCGTGCCCTGGTTATCGGGGCTTACACGTCACTGGACAAACCTCTTACTCCTGTGCTCAGGAAGGCAGTGAGCCTTTACTTGGAGATTAGCATCTAATTAAATCCTCATAGTAAGGCAGCAGGTGTGGTTATCAGTCATATGAGAAAATAATAATTACCACTAATTTTAGAGAAGGAGTGTAAGGAATTGAAATGTAAAGTCAGAAGCCTGGAAGAGGGATCCAGAAGACTCTTAATAAGTCTTCGGGGGAGCACAGTGGTCGGCAAACTCATTAGTCAACAGAGCGGCAAACCGCGGCTCGCGAGCTCCATGTGGCTTGAGAGCCGCAGTTTGCCGACCACTGGGGTAGCACATCGCTACTACAACTTCAGTTATGCCAGTTTCCATGGATTGTTTACTGTGTTGCTGAAGCTCTGCTGGGCCACCCTCGGAAGTGGGTGCTATTTTCTGTGCCCGTTTTATAAAGGAGCAAACCGGGGCCTAGATAGAGTTTGCAACTTGCTGAGGTCAAGAAAAGGGCAGAGCCCAGCTGGTGTGGCTCAGTGGTTGAGTGTTGAGTGTTGACCTATGAACCAGGAGGTCATGGTTCTATTCCCGGTCAAGACACATGCTTGGGATACGGGCTTGATTCCCACTGGGGGGCGTGCAGGAGGCAGCGGATCAATGATTCTCTCTCATCATTGATGTTTCTCTCTCCCTTCATCTCTGAAATCAATAAAAATATACTTTTTTAAAAACACAAATATCTTCTCTAAGAACACAGCCTTTTGCTTGAGCACATTTTGCACTATTTCTTCTATGTACAAGTTTTATTACATTTAGTTTCTTTTTAAAAAAATATATATTTTTATTGATTTCAGAAAGGGAGGGAAAGGGAGAGAGGAAAACATCAATGATGAGAGAGAATCATTGATTGGCTGCCTCCTGCATGTCCCCCACTGAGGATCAACCCCAGCATGTGCCCTGACCTCCTGGTTCATAGGTCAACACTCAACCTTTGAGTCATACCCGCCAGATGAATTCGGTGCTTTTTATTTTAATGTTTAGGTTTTAAGGCCCCAGCCACACTGGAGAGGAAGACTCCAGACCTAGCTGCTTTGGACAAGTGGGGTGGGTTGTCTTTTAACCACTGGACTTAACCTTTGGGGACTCTGTTGCTGGGCAGTGACTCGGGGACAGAAGGAAATCAGCTGGTGCTGAAAAAAGTCTTGAAGCAAAACATGCATAAAATCAACCTATGATCTGTTACCTTCCCCAGTCAGATAAGGAAAGTAGAGTCCTCTTTATATGCCAAAAGCCCACATCCCATTATCTGTAGGACATAATCATCCATCCATCCATCCATCCATCCATCCATCCATCCATCCACTAGGCAACTTCTGTGTGCCTTCACAGAGACCGGACCCACAGCCATCTGATGGTGAAGGCCATAATAAGAGTGTGTGTAAGTCACCCAGGTGTTAGAGCTTGGCATGGGGTTGGTGTACAGTGGAGGGTGGAGTGGGGGGATTTTGCAAGACGACTTCTGTGTAGAGCGACCAACTCGTCCTGGTTTGCCAAGCACAAAACTGGACTTGCTTGATTTTAAAAGTGAAAGTTCCAAGTCCTGAAAACCCCCCTTAGTCCCAGGCAAACCAGGACAGTTGGTCATCTCAGAGGCTGGAGGCGAGCAATGGGATGGATGGTTAGGAATGTGCATACAGTGAAGACACACAGGGAATTTTCTTATTCAGGGTGTTGACCCTTATCTGCTTATGAAAACCTCAGAGCCTCTTGCTTTGTCAGTATTTACCCTCTGCTGGGGAAGTGCCCATTCACATGCATCAGGATGAGATTGCAGTGTGGTCATGAGATTACTTTAGTGCAAATGTTATGTGGGAATTCATAGAATGAGGAGTTTTCTAAGGAAATAATACATTAAAAATTCTTTGCTTTCCTTTCAATTAAAACAATCTGTTCTACAGGCATTAAATAATCCAATTCTCCAAAGGATAATCCAACAATAGGCTTTAAAAAATATCTCTTGTCTGAACTATTCTTCAACTTTAGTGACCCCATGTGATTCTGAGAGGAAGTTTCATGTCGCAGTAGATATGGAGCCATTGAATCCGTCTTTTAACCACGACTCATTTGCTTTTCCGTATTTCTTTGGTAGTTCCTTCCTCTTTTTGTCTTGGGGAACGTCTCCTTCTAATTTGATTTTTTCCTTTTCATAGACTGACTTGTTTAAAAGGCCTGGTGAGGCCAGCAGATGTTGATAGATGGGTTGTGCAGAAGTTAATAATGTGATTTCATATTATTTGGGTGTATCTGTTAAAATGGTGTTTCTAAGTGAACTCTATTATGTGCATGAAAAAAAAAAGTGTTTTGAATTTTACTGCAGGTTTCATAATTGACTCATGCTTTTGTGAGTAATGTGTAAATACATTTAAAAGTGATTTGTGTATACCTTGTTAGTGTTAATATAAATTAATAGGGCCATTTGGGGCAGCTTGGCAGCAGTTAGCTGCCTTTGGGTGACGCAAGGGAGCCTGAGAGGACTTGAGGCAATAAAGATATATTGGGGATAAAAAACAAATGTGTTATAATTTTCCAACATTGTAGGTGGGGCTGTAAATTGGTATCCTTCCTCTGGGGAATGGCTAAAAAAACCCACAGAAAACCAAAAAACTCCTGCCAACTGCAGCACTTTTCACAAGTGAGGAGATAAATCTATACGAACTAAGATGGAAAGATTTATAAAGCATGTTGTTAAATGAGAAGAGAAAGTTGCAGCCTTGGCTGATGTGGCTCAGTTGGTTGAGCTGTTGTTCCAAGCACCAAAGATCCCCAGTGTGGTCCCCATCAGAGTAGACCACCTAGAGGAAGGTACCCGTTCTCCAGAACGATGCAGCCCGCTAGGGGTTTCAGCCTGGGATTTTAACCAAAGGCAGCAGTCCTGTTCCCATTCAGTCCCCGACAAAGGATTTTATCTGTCTTTCCTGGTGTTATTTCTCTCCCACTCTGTCTTTCTCCTCTTGCTGAAAAGGGTGTCACTCCTAATCTCTCTTGTTCACAAAAGGTGATGGAGGCCTATGTTGGCCACTGACGGTGTCAATCCTTATCTGCCGTAGGCCTCCAGTTCTGGGGTTTGCGGATGCATTTTGTAGAGCTGTGCACCAATGTGATTTTGTAAGTCTGGAAAAAGCCTTCTACCTTTGCCGGTCCCTTCAGTTCAGTTCAGGCACTCACCCTCATAGTTTGTGCTTTAAAATACCCCATGCCCGTGGCTTTTCAGACTTCATCTGCCCCATTCCATCTCCGAAAGCACTCTCCTTTAGCCCTTTTGAGTGTACCCCTCCCACCTCATTCCCACCACTTAGACTTAGCTGTTCACCTTCTGCACACTTCCTCTGTATACATAGTCCTTCCTATATGAGGAGCCGTCACTCCACACTTAGAGATGAAATGTAAAAATCTGAATATTTCCACCACTTCATACCTTCTAGGCTGGCCTTCACCAGGCAAAACCCCAAGAAAGTAAGTGTTGGTAAGCATATGGAAACATTAGGATCCTTGTACATTGCTTGTAGGAATGTTAGATGGTTCTGTTGAAAAGAGTCTGGTGGTTTCTCAGTAAGTTAAACGTAAAATTACCTTGTTGTCACTGGACAGGGGCCGGGCTGAGATGGGTCTGCCCCAGCACAGCTACTCTGTCCAGAGCGGTGGTCCCGGGCCACGGGTGGCTCCTGAGCACGTGGAGTATGGCTGGTCCTAAAGGAGACGTGTGGTCAGTGTGGGATTCACACTGGGCTTCACAGCCTGGATCTGAGCGAGGAGAATGGAAAATATCTTATTAGTGATACTTACATAGTGATTACATGTTGAAATGATAGTATTTTAATATTATATTAGATAGAACACGGTTTTTAAAAAGCCAAAAGCTGCCCAGACGGTATAGCTCAGCAGTTGAGCATAGACCCAGGAATCAGAGGTCACTAGTGCGATTCCCGGTCAGGGGTTGTGGGCTCGGTCCCCAGTAGAGGGCTGTAGGAGGCAGCTGATCAGTGATTCTCTCTCATTGATGTTTCTTGCTCTCCCTCTCCCTTCCTCTCTGAAAAAAAAAAAATTAAAAAAAAAAAATATATATATACACACACACACACACACACACACACACACACACACACACACATATATATATATATATATATATATATATATATATATATATATATATTTAAATAAAAGCCAAATACCTTCTGGAGAGGTAACAGAGAGGCTTAAATCGCACTGAAGTCTGAAAGATAAAATGGTACATCATTTTGTTGCCCAGCCGGCTTGGCTCAGTGGTTGAACCAGGAGGTGAAAGTTCAGTTCCCGGTCAGGGCACTGGGTTTTTCACACTCAGTTCCCATGGGAGGTGTGCAGGAGGCCACTGATCAATGTTTCTCTCTCATCGATGTTTCTCACTCTCTATCTCTTTCCCTTCCTCTCTGTAAAAAAAAAAAAAAAAAATCAATAAAATATATTTAAAAAATAAAAAATAGATAAAACGGTATAATTTTAAAGCTGGGAAAGAACCTACAAATTTGATATTCTCCTGGAAGTAGGTTTTAGAGTGAGAAAGCGACAGAGGGAGCCAGAGGGATCTAGGGAGAATCTGCCTCCTGAGGGCTCAGGAGAAGAGGCTGGCCTTGCTGGCAGAAAGTTCCTGGGGCTCCAACTGGTCTAGTCCTCCTGACCTTTATTTAACTTTATCCTTACCATTATTTAGTATAGATTTTATGGTAAAAAAAAAATGTATGGGCCAGTAAATTACGGTGCTGCTTAGTTGGTCTAAGTCCTGGATTCGTTGAGTCCAGGGGGAGCAGCTTTCAGACGGCAGTGTTGTTATTGCTGCTGCTCTGACCAAAGCGGCAGGAAGGAGCCCGCTACACGCTTATTCAAGTTTCACGTTTTCCTGGTTGTGCATCTGCAGGAAGAAAGGTATAACTGCTTAGGCAAGATGCATGGCCACATTGATGTCAGTTTGCAAAGGACATGCTTGGAACAAGTTGCTTTGTGTTTTGTTTTGTTTTGTTCTGTTTTTTTTTTTTTTTTCTCCTTCTTTTACTTAATATTTATCTTTTCATTTTACATTTCCCCCCAGATCAGCAACGTCTTGTTTTTCATTTTACCTCCCATCTGCATGTGCTTGTTCCGCCAGTACGCAACGTGCTTCAACAGTGGCATCTACTTAATCTGGACTCTTTTAGTTGTAGTGGGTAAGTGGACCCGGTTGGGAGCATGGGCTGAAAGGGAGGAAATGGAATTCCAACACTTCCTGTCTCCTGTGAACATTGTGTTTTGTAAACCAAAGTCACTCTGACGTCTTAGCGTGCTTTTATGTTGCTTGCTGGAGGCCAAAAGCACTCTTGTGAATATGGGCTCGATAACAAGGTTGGCGGTCATTATCACTTAATTGCATTTGAGAGTTCATCTGTGTCGCTGCTGTTGGTGGTATGCCAATGCAGTTTCTGAGAACGTCTGAGGAAAGTCATGTAGGACAATTGAACTCTGATGAGACTGTGGCTTCTAATGGACTAAAGGTAAAAAAATCTAGTTGTTTGATCCTTCATTGTTCTGGAAAATTCTTGGGCAATTTCTACTTCCTTCCACAGGCAGATTGGGAACTCTTAGCAGGAAGAGAATGTTGACTTCTTTTTGCTGCCTGATCCCATGCAGGCTCGTGGAGGAAGAGAGACCGTGCTCAGCTGTGGAATCATTAACGTTCTGAAGTGTTGACATGTAGGCCCTCCTTAAAATTCTCTCTCTAGACTTGAAGTCTGCACACCTAGATGGTGTGAGTTTCTCCCTTCGGTTTCTTTTTTCACGGAGAACGAGCGATCTGGCGATTGTGACTGTGTTTGGTGAAAGGCTCTCCGTAAGCAGTGTATTGAATTTGTGAGTCTTTTCTTCTTCGGTGACACTTGTTATTGGTTGTAATTGATTCTAGGAATTGGATCCGTCTACTTCCACGCAACTCTGAGCTTCCTGGGTCAGATGCTTGACGAACTTGCAATCCTTTGGGTTCTGATGTGTGCTCTGGCCATGTGGTTCCCTAGAAGGTACCTGCCAAAGGTCTTCCGGAATGACAGGTAAGCTTGTGCTAGCCACTGCTAGGTGCAATACCCGGTATCATGTAATTTGTCAAGAAACATAGCACACGATGAAGCCCAGCCTGGTGACGAGCTCATCGCACACCTGTTTAATACCCCCAGATTGTTCAGAATCTGACAGTATAAATGAACTGACAGATGATAAGGAGGATTCTGTATGCTTAGAGAAGAATTTCTATAACAGGGACAGAATGTCAAATGTCTCCCTTATTTGATGTGGGAAAAATTGGAAAGGTTGTCAGTGGGGGAGACATTCTTGAAGGGCAGTTCAAAGACCCTTGATTTCCTGTTAGAGTATTTCTTTTAGTCCAACCTACTCCACCATTTTATAAATTTACAGTAGAATCCGCTAAGGAATTGGTTCTTGGAGCCATAATTACTATAGTTGTCCAAAATAGAGGCGTGTCCATGAAATATAATGGATGCTTCTGATCACATACACACACACACACACACACACACACACACACACAGACACACACCCTCACCCTCCAAAGTGGAAACCCAGAATTTCAGGAAAGGATGCACTTTAATATCCATTGTGTTATGCTTGTATGCTTGAGTATTCATCCAGTAAATACTTTTTGAACACTTACTATTTACTATGCATTTTTCTAGGCTTCTAGACACTGGGATGTATCAGTAAATTAAACAACAGAACCTCTGCCCTGGATGAGCTTACACTGAGGTTGGGGAGGTTGTGAATCAACATACAAACATAAATACTACTAGGGAGAGAGAAGTCTGTGACGGAAATGAAACTGGTTAAGGGGTTGTAGTAACTTGGAGCTTGGTCAGGGATGCCTTCCTGAGGAGTTGTATAAGGGTATTAATATCTGAGGGAACAGAAGAGAGAGTCACCCTCATAAAGATAAATGTTCCCAGAACATATTACCCACATGTTTGTCAAAGTATCTATGGATAAATAGTCTAAAAGATAGGGATTCAGTTAAGCAAGCTGGAATAGGGACAGGAGCTATGTAGCTATTAACTGTTGTATATGGGCTGAGATAGAGGCGTGTCCATGAAATATAATGGATGCAAAATCACACTGTAGAACTGTGTGTGCAATATTCTAATTTTAGAATGAATGAAACAGCCTCTTGTTGAGTATATGTCTTTGTACGTGCACACAAATGCCTGGGAGGATGAGGACAGCCACCACCACTCTTAGGAATTGGGGTGGGGAGAGAGCTTTCATTTTTACCTTAAAAAAAATAAATGTATATATATATATATATTGATTTCAGAGAGGACGGGAGAGGGGGGGAGAGGGAGAGGGAGAGGGAGAGGGAGAGGGAGAGAGAGAGAGAAACATCAATGATGAGACAAAATCACTGATTGGCTGCCTCCTGCACACCCCTCACTGGAGATCAAGCCCGCAACCCAGGAATATGCCCTTGACTGGAATCAAACCTAGGACCCTTCAGTCTGCAAGCCGATGGTTTCTCCACTGAGCCAAATGACTAGGGCTTATTTTTACCTTTAATATACACTGTTTTACAAAGAGCACATGTTAGCCGGGACCGGTTTGGCTCAGTGGATAGAGCGTCGGCCTGCGGACTGAAAGGTCCCGGGTTCAATTCTGGTCAAGGGCATGTACCTTGGTTGCGGGCATATCCCCAGTGGGGGGTGTGCAAGAGGCAGCTGGTCGATGTTTCTCTCTCATCAACATTTCTAACTCTCTGTCCCTCTCAATTCCTTTCTGTGTAAAATCAATAAAATATATTTAAAAAAAAAGAGCACATGTTAATTTAAAAAAATATATATTTTATTGATTTTTTACAAAGAGGAAGAGAGAGGGATAGAGAGAAACATTGATGAGAGAGAATCATCGATCAGCTGCCTCTTGCACTACCCCCACTGGGGATATGCCCGTAACCAAGGTACATGCCCTTGACCAGAATTGAACCCGGGACCTTTCAGTCCACAGGCCGACGCTCTATCCACTGAGCCAAACCAATTTTGGCAACACATGTTAATTTTTAATATCAAAAAATTTTTTAAGTATTTTATTTTAAAATATATTTCATTGATATTTATTTATTTATTTATTTATTTATTTATTTATTTATTTTTTAAGAGAGGAATAGTTAAAAACATCAATGAGCTACCTCTTGCACATCCCCTACTGGGCATGTGCCTGCAGCCAAGGTAACATGCCCTTGACCGGAATTCAACCTGGGACCCTTGGGTCTGCAGGCTGATGCTCTATCCATTGAGCCAAACTTGTTAGGGCTGAAAATGTATTTTTAAATGAGGCAGGGAGAAAACACACCATAAATGGATTAGCTGTAGGATCTTCATCCTGGGTAGCAGGAATTGAATTAAATAGTGTTATCTCTGAGAATAATCAAGTAGAAAGAGGTCTCCTCAAGAAGGTTACTTATCAAAAAGTGAAAGAAAAAAAAAAAGTGGAGAGAGGGGGAGGTGAGGAAGGAGGGAGGGCGAGAAGGAGAGAGGGAGCAGGAGGGTGAAGAAGAGGAAGAGAGACAGAGAAAGAGAGAGAGAGAGACCCGCTATTTACCAGTGGAAGTGAAAAGGAGGTACTCCTCATCTCAGATGAAATAATGAAATCCGGTCTCCATGTGGCTGAGGCCTTGTCCTCAGTGGAGGAAATGCACATTAAACCACACAGGTTGGTTTAGCTGCTCTGGTTTCTAGTCTTGCCCCGTCTCCTTGTTCAGCTTCAGGACAATGACTGAGGGTGGTCAGAAAGCCTTGTGAGCAGGGGGGAGGGGGGGGTCGGAGGCAGTGGCACCAGGCCGGGTCATGAGGTGAGTTTGCAGGCGGACTTTCTGACTCTGCCCCATACGCACACCATTTCCGCTTGGCTTTTCCTGTTGTCTCCGGAGGTGCCCACCAGCCCCTCCGTCCTTTCCCTGAGCCTGGCGGGGGTCGGGTTGAGAGCTACAGTACTGTTTTGCTCTTGGCTCTCATCTCTCAAGTACTGGCATCTGAGCGAGAAGTGGAAGACATGGGAGCAGGGTTTTGTTTTATTTGTTTGTGGCACTCTGGAGGCCTGGATTGAAATTCCAAGTGACATGTTTTAATGCACTCATAAGAGAGAACCTCTTTCTTTTCTCGTTTCTTGAAGTTGTTATGAGCAGGAGATGAGAAAACGGGGCAATGGCTGTAGTAATTCACGATTACCACCTGAAATAATGAGAACATAGCATGAGGAGGCAGGAAAGTCTGTGACCTTTGGGACTTTTCCATCACCAGCGCCATTTCTCTGTGGAAGCTGTGACCCCTCTGCTCAATTTGAGCACAGCCCTTTGGTGGCACTGACCACTATGCATGCATATATCCCTAGCCTTGGAGAGTACCTGGGTTTGAATCCTAGCTTCCCAGTTTATAAACTGTATACACTCTAACTTTCTATTTCCTCATCTATAAAATTAGGTAGCTCTAGGGTTTTTGCGAGATGACTGCAGCACTTCGTAGGTACTAAGATCAGGGTGATTGCTCAGAATTAGCTCTCATGTCTGCCCATGGCACGGAGAGGTTGCTGAGATTGCTGCCTGCCTCTGTGAGGTATGTATACAGATGGAAGGAGGGAATGGGCATTGAGGATTCCAATGAGCAAAGACAGAAACGGTGCCTGTTACAGGAGGCCGCTCCCTCTAAAGTAAGGATGTCGATTCCACTTGTCTGTCTTCAACTTGCAGTGATGGGGGGAGCGAGGAGAGCAACCCCTCCGAGGGGCCCAGGGCCCTGGACAGGTGACAGCTCTACAGGAAGTGACAGGCCAGACCACAGACTTCAGGTCAATTCCAGCATTTCTGAAGACCAGGGATTGCGTGGCTTAGCTGCCTGAATGCATCAGATAGTTAGCATTGATCTCTCCTTTTTGTTTGTGATCTAGAATTTGCTGGACTGTTTCTAAAAACCTTTTCAGAGTAGTTCCTGTGTGAAATGCAGGAGAGGAGTGAGCATAGAAGCTAAGTGACTGGGTCAGACAGATATGGATTTGAATAATATACTTTTTTTTTTTTTTTTTTTTAGAGCTCTGATACCTCATTTTGCTCATCTGTAAAGTGGAGATAATAGCAGTACTATCTCATGAGGTTGGAAATGTATGATAAAATCTTACAAAGCGTATTAAGGACTCACTCAGTGCTAGCAGTAGTTATGAATGACTAATAGGGATATGCGTTTGAAGATAAGGATGACTAGAACAGCAGGCATTATGTAAATAGGAATAATTGGTGGATTTAAAAAAAGGGCATTTTTTTCTTCTTGTCTAGAATGTTCTTAGGAATTGTCAGGACACACACTCCACTATAGATGATTATTAATAATTTTTAGACATTTTTGTTTTGAGAAAAAAAAAAAAAAACAAGAAGAAGTATTATAGACGAATTATATCCATTCTAAAATAATTTATCCTGCTGTGGTTTTGAAGAATTTGCCTCTGCAAAGTCTAGGGACAGACCCCTCTTTAATATTATGCAGCTCATTCTTTGACTCCTGGATACCAAGGGTGCAGGCTGGGGTCTGCGTGTCCTGCTCTCACGCTGACTAGGTGACTTGGGGTCACCGTCTCCTTCTCTCCGGGCCTTATCAGTTCCTCACCTATAATACGACAGGGCGGGCCTTCCAAGACAAATGGCTGTGGTCCTGTGACCGTCAGGGGCTTGTCCTAAATAGGTTGTTTGAACCCTACTGGGTAGTTTAAAGCAGTGGATCTTAACCAGGGACATTTCTGCCTCTCAAGGGGCATCTTGGAAGTTTATAGTGTTCACAGTGATGGGACATTTTCTCACCCATAAATTGCATTTTACTTCAGAGGAGTAAAAGGGCCATTACAAATAGTTGATTTTAAAAATGGGCAGAGGGCCTGACCGAGTGAAAACTACTGCTTTCAGTGGTAGCTAAAGATAACAGTAATAGCTTTGTTATACTCATAATATGGTGATGGTGCCGGGTGGCTAGGTTTTGGTTTGGGGAGCACAAGAAGAAGGGGTGCTAAGAGTTCCCTGACCTTGTGTTCAATTGGAGCCCACAACGGCCGGATAGTTGACAACAGGATTGGTGCCAGCGGTAGTCATCATTGCTCAGAAACAGCCTGTGGGCCCCTGGCTGCTGGCTATCGCTAGTTCTCTCGTACCGAGGGCCTCGGTCACTCCGGGCCTGCTGGGCTGCCACGTGATTTCTGGTGCCTTCTGGTTGCAACATCAGGCTTTCACAGGATGTCCTGGATGGCCAAGCAGCCTTCCCCAAGCACATTCCTCCACACCCGCTGGACTAATGTGGGAGGTAGCTGCCCTCGTCCCGAAAGCATGTTGTGTCGAGCTTGCTGCCTTTGAACTCTGGCAGTAGAGTCTTCGGTGATTGCAACACCAGCTCAGTCAGATTTTCCCCGGGAGTGTGCTGTTATTAACAACAATAATATCTTAATGAGCATTTATTCTCAAGCGGTGGCAGTGATTGTGGGTTTTATGAGCAGACACCGTGTACCGGGCACTGTATGGAGTGCTGCGATGCTTGCAGAAACCCCCTTAGGCAGGTGTCTTCACTGGCCCACGGGAAACCGGGAGCTTGGGCAGAGTCCCGTGATTTGCCAGAGATGCCACAGCCACTGCGTGAGGAGCAGAGTGGACACACACGGGTCACACCGGAACACCCGTGCTGAGAACTCTTGTGGCTCTCTCGAACCTGTGTCTGAATCCCAAACCACTGGGTACAGGGAGGTGATGCCACGTGGAAGTGTTAACTGTGTTCCCCAGTCTAACAAGGCCAAAGCCGTGGTGTGGGTCATAACTCCTCAACCCAGGGAGAGGGTTGTTGTGGGTCCCCAAGGGTTACACACATGATGGGGCTGGGAGAGCAGCAGCCTTTTACCCAGTAGCTCAAGGATGCCAACCAAGGTCAGGGAACAAACACAATTCTCCAGGGGATATGCCGCCTGGATCCTTTCCCAGACATATTTTCTTCCTCTGGTCGAAGTTCAGGGCTGCAGTTCCCGTTCGTTTGCTCAGAAAGTTGGCAGCTTGATCAATGATTTCCTGTGCCTTGAAGATAAATGGTTTTCCTCTAAGAGATTAATTTGTATTTTTAAGGTTTCAATGAACTTTGATTTTTTTTTTATGAAGGAATTTCATTTAAATTAGTTTCCTAACTGTGACCTGTTCCAGGGCTCTTGGCCAAAGTAAACTGTGCTCATCCCAGAAACGTCAGGAACATCACGAGCTCTTACGTGATCAGGCATAGATGAGGCCGTAGAGACGATCTGGTTCCGACTTTTCGTTTTCTCGATAAGGAAGTGGGGTCCCGAGGAGAGAGGAAGCAGCGCGGTCAGGATCACGTCGCCGATTCTGGCTCTTCCTATTGACAGCACCTCCACCCAGAGTGAAAGGAGGCTGTCAGTTATTTTTCTAAGATTTGTCACGTCAAAAACCTGTCAACACAGAATGCCAATGCATCCTAGACTGTGGACTGTCAGTGAATAGAGACACGATTACAATGTTTTAAAGTCTTCTACTTTTGTGAGGTAGACACAGGAGGTTTTTTCTTTTTGCACGCGCACACACACACACACACACACACTTGATATTTAGAGAGAGGAGGGGAGAGTGAAACATTGATTGGCTGCCCCCTGCACCCCCCTTACTGGGGATTGAGCCCGACACCTGGGCAGGTGCCCTGACCGGGAAACCAACTGGCAACTCTTCCGTGCATGGTACACACCTAACCAACTGAGCCACACTGGCCAGAGTGACGTTTTTCTTTTAAACCAGGAAGCTTACAGAACGGGGGCTGATAAACTCTGTTCTGTGGGCCAAACTGGGCCACTGCCTGTCCTTCCAAATCAAGTTGTCTTGGACCACAGCCCTACCGTTCACGCCCTTACTGTCCACAGTGGCAGGGGGAAGTCACTGTGTGACCCGCAGAACCTAAAACATTCACTGTCTGACCCTGTCCAGAAACGTTTACCAAGTCCTGCTGTAAAACATGGGAAAAGAATGAGAAGACAAGTATCCATATCTCACCTTAGGGGACTGAGGTTGATTATAATTTTGCCGTTCTCGTGGCTGAGTATTTAGAAAATCTCTGGTTATTCCCTGAGGATAAATTCCTAGAAGTGCAATCACCGAGCCAGTGAGTGTGAGCGGTTCTTAGGCTCTGGGTACGTGGTGCACAATTTCTTCTCAGCTTCCACTCCCACCAGCAGTGCCTGCACTTTGTCCACATTTAACGAACAAGACCTCCTTAGTTATACAACTTAATAAAAAGAAGATAAATGATCCAATAAAAAAAATGGGCAACGGACCCAAATAGAATCTTTTCAAAAGAAGACAGAAGGAAGGCCAAGAGACATATGAAAACATGCTCAGTCACTGATTATCCGAGAGATGCAAATCAAAATGACAATGTGGTACCACCTCACACCTGTCAGAATGGCCAACATCAACAAATCAACAAACGACAAGTGTTGGCGAGGATGTGGAGAAAAAGGAACCCTCGTGCACTGCTGGTGGGAATGCAGACTGGTGCAACCACTGTGGAGTACTGTATGGGGTTTCCTCAAAAAACTGAAAATGGAACTCCCATTTGAACCAGTAATGCCACTCCTAGGGACATATCTAAGAAACTGGAAACACCAATAAGAAAGGATATATGCACCCCTATATTCATAGCGGCCCAATTTACAATAGCTAAGACTTAAAAACAGCCTAGGTGCCCGTCAGCAGATGACTGGATCAGAAAACTATGGTACATCTACACAATGGAATACTATGCTGCCATAAAAAATAAGAAATTCTTAACATTTGCAGCAACCTGGATGGAATTGGAGAACATCATGCTAAGTGAAATAAGCCAGTCAATAAAAGAAAAATACCACATGATCTCATTCATTTTTGGATAACAAAGATCATTATAGACTGTTGAACAAAAAGATAGATACAGAGACAGTAAAGCATCAAACAGAATGTCAAATTACAGTGGGAAGGTTAGGGAGCGGTTGGGGAGATAGATCAACTGAAGTACTTGTATGCATGCATATAAGCATAATCAATGGACGCAAACTCTGGGGGTGAGGGCATGTATGGGAGTAGGGTAGGGGGGCAATGGTAAGAGATGTACACATATAATACCTTAATTAAAAAATGAGGGGAAAAAAACCTCCTTAACTAATGGATGGGGTTTGCTTTCACCGATTCAGGGGCAGGTTCAAGGCAGTGGTCTGCGTCCTGTCCGCGGTTACAACGTGCCTGGCATTCGTCAAGCCCGCCATCAACAACATCTCTCTGATGACGCTGGGGATTCCTTGCACTGTGCTGCTCATTGCAGAGCTCAAGAGGTGGGTGGGTGCCTCTCCCTGCCCTTTCCTGTCCCCGCGACAGGGACACACCAGCTCCTGGTCCTTCCCTCCCCGAGTGTGGAGGAGGAGCTGGACTTTTCGTTAGCTCCTGACAGCTGTTTGAAAGCAGGTTCGATCTCATTTCCTGAAAGAAAGAGCAGTTGTTTTTGTGGGTGCAGCAGCTCCTAGGGGTCCAAAGCTAGCCTAGCAGAAACATCTCCAGGACCCAGTGTGCCCCTGACCGAGGGTCCTAGAGTGTGTGAACTCTAAGAAAGGAGAATAGGTTTGTTCATGGGACGGGAATAAGGAGAAGAGTCCTAAAGAGGCAGTTGCAGTCACACACAGAGGGAAAAAGAAATGCATGTCTGTGTGCAAGGTAACATTGACTTCTGGTGTAGGACTGTCGATGGCTACTTTCTCTGAGACCTTGTTTCTTATTCACAAGCCACCAGGAAAGCCTTTTGTCCTTGGGTGAGAATTTTCCTTTGGGGAGCTGTATACTCGGAGTTCAGGCTGATATGGGGAAACATTTTAGCTGAGCTCTTTGTGTACACAACTATCATCTTCCGGCCCCCGTGCTTTTAGAAAACGCTGCTGCTCTGTGCACCCGCTTTTATTTTTTTATTTTTTTATTTTTTTATTTTTTTTATTTTTTATTTTTTTCCATTTCAAAAGAATCATTTTATTTTATTTTTTTCCCCCCTGTTTTCTTTTATTTATTTATTTATTTATTTATTTATTTATTTAAAGCAATCTTTATTGTTCATATTATTACAAAGGTTCCTCATTTCTTCCCCCCTCCACCAGGTTCCCACCCCACCCTACGTCCCCCCCCCATCCCCCATTGTCCTCATCCATAGGTGCAGTTTATGTTCAGTCTCTTCTTCCCTCAATTTCTCCAATAGTAAATCCCTTTTCAGATAGTAAATCAGTTACTTAGCATTTTCTCATATCAATAATACCTCCACATGCCCAATGATACACTTCACACAAAAGACATTTCCCACTAGGTCAACCAGCCTCATCCAGGCCCCACCCAAGGCACTCACAGATCAACACCCCAGCCCTAAACTAACTCAACACATCCAGATCTAAGCCTTCATCACTTGATTCAGCAGACACTCAAGTTCCCATGAAAGTTTCCAGCCATGTCTGAGAAGCAGCCGTGGGGCAGGGGCAGGCAAGGAGCGAGCTGTTCTGGGCCTGGCTGCTCAGGGCCTGGCCTCTGTTGCTCTGGTTCATTCCACAACCAGCTGCTCTGGGTCTGGTCACTGCCGCTCCCGACCTAGTTGCTCTAGACTTGGCTGCTGCTGCTCCGGGCCTGGCCGCTCCCAGCCTGGCCGCCGCTGCTCCGGGCCTGGCCGCACCCGACCCACCTGCTCCCCTGGGCCTGGCCGCTCCCAGCCTGGCAGCCGCTGCTCCGGGCCTGGCCGCACCCGACCCGCCTGCTCCCCCGGGCCTGGCCGCTCCCAGCCTGGCAGCCGCTGCTCCGGGCCTGGCCGCACCCGACCCGCCTGCTCCCCCGGGCCTGGCCGCTCCCAGCCTGGCAGCCGCTGCTCCGGGCCTGGCCGCACCCGACCCGCCTGCTCCCCCGGGCCTGGCCGCTCCCAGCCTGGCAGCCGCTGCTCCAGGCCTGGCCGCACCAGCCCAGCCTGCTCCCCCGGGCCTGGCCGCTCCCAGCCTGGCAGCCGCTGCTCCGTGCCTGGCCGCACCAGCCCCGCCTGCTCCCCCGGGCCTGGCCGCTCCCAGCCTGGCAGCCGCTGCTCCGGGCCTGGCCGCACCCGACACGTCTGCTCCCCCGGGCCTGGCCGCTCCCAGCCTGGCAGCCGCTGCTCCGGACCTGGCCGCACCCGACCCGCCTGCTCCCCCGGGCCTGGCCGCTCCCAGCCTGGCAGCTGCTGCTCCGGGCCTGTGTGCACCCGCTTTTAGAAATGCGTGACTCTCTCACTGCCCAGGACATGGTGTCTTCTCTCTGTCCCCCAGTGAACGTCACTCTGTGGAATGTGTCGGTCAGCTCCCAGTCTTTGTTTTGAGCAGGGACACGTACATTTCTATCCTTTGCTCTGCCTCTGGGGGTTGCGTTGATTTTCAGCAATACCAGGCAGGGCCAAAGGTGGTCGAAGAGGTAGGTGAGCCTGCCAGCTGGCCACGGAGTGACACTGTCAGTCTTGTCTCTTTGGCTTCTTTGAGGAGCCTTCAAGGACCAGGGAATTAAAATACCTATTTCTGAACACTAACAGATCTTTTTTTAAAAAAATATATATTTTTATTGATTTCAGAGAGGAAAGGAGAGGGAGAGATAGAAACATCAGTGATGAGAGAGAATCATTGATTGGCTGCCTCCTGCATGCCCCTCACTGGGGATTGAGCCCGCAACCCAAGTGTGTGCCCTTGACCAGAATCGAACCCAGGACCCCTCTGTCCACAGGCTGGTGCTCTATCCACTGAGCCAAATCAGCTAGGGCCACTAACAGATCTTGAAACCCTTTGAAAAACACACACAGTTAAATAGCTGATAAAGACATCTGAAATGGATTTGTTATAGTCACTTTTTCTCTTTCTCATTAGCCTCAATCCTAGAGCTTGTTTCTAATCTCTTCATTGTCCTTTCTGAGCCTTCTCTCAGAGCAGGAGGAAATAACGTTTATTATGACTTGGGGTCACGATCTGACATTTGCTGAAATTTGGGTGGTGTCACATTACCAAATGACTCAGCTACATGTAAAATATTGTAAAATAGATTCTTTTTTTTTTTTTTTTTTTCCTGATCGTAGGAGTGAGTTGATTGTTAAGGAAAACTTTGAGAATGCAACAGAGGGTCAAGGAGAGAAGCAACAGTAGACTTCTGCTCAGATTTTTCTATTCTAAAGTTGGGTTCTGCTTTTGCACTTAACCTCACATTGGCATTTTGATCCAAGCCCTGAAAAGTGGGGTTATACCCAGTGGCGGTCAGGTTTGGATAAGCCCCAAGTGCAAATAAGTCTGGTGTGTGGCATCTGGCAGGGTCTGCCCTTCGCCAACAGAGGAAGGGACAGTGCGGGCTGCCCTGGACCCTGAATCTGCAATGCCTCCCTCCCAGCATCCCAGGTAACAGCCTCAACCCCCCTCCTGGCCAGGGGACTCGCCATATGACATTCCACCTCTTTCTGCCACTCAGCACACACACTGCGTCTCCAGCTCTCTGTGCTGGGCTGTTCCGTAAGCTAAACTTTCTGGCATCAGTTAAACTGAGGGTATACTCAGTACTAGACCAATTGCCTATATATTAATTGATTTTTGCTTCTGTCAGATTTCATTTTACCTTTAAAAAATGGCAAGGCTAGAAGCCTGTTTATTTTGCCTTTTAGAGTGCAGAATAAATTGTCTCTATAGTTGACTTGAGCTTCTGACATGGAAGGACTTATTTTCCTGAGAGAGCTGGAGAAGAACAGGTTTTGGTCAGGGGAAAGGTTAGGAGTCCACTGTGGACATGTTAAATGTGGGTCTATCTGAGACATCAGCGGACATGTCTAGAAGGCAGCTGGGTTTGGAGTCTGGAGTCAGGGAGGGGCCTGGGTGAGAGGGATGGCTCTGGGGCCCCTCTGTGTACATATGGGACCCACATCCACGAGCTGGCAGAGTGGTGGTATGTGGGGTAGGGGTTCCAGCCCCTTGGGATTCCCCAAGGGGCTGGGGAGACGTGAGGAAGCAGACCCATGGCTGGGAGGTGGGCGGAAACCCCACCAGGACTGATGACATCGGGGTCCTGTGCAGGTGTGACAACGTGCGTGTGTTTAAGCTGGGCCTCTTCTCCGGCCTCTGGTGGACCCTGGCTCTCTTCTGCTGGATCAGTGACCGAGCCTTCTGTGAGCTGCTGTCATCCTTCCACTTCCCCTACCTGCACTGCGTGTGGTAAGCCCTGCCGGTGGGGGTGTGTGGGGGTGTGAGAAGGAGGCTGCAGGACCCGGAGGTGCCCAGGGGACAGGGGAGCCTGAGTGCCCCCTCTCCTCAGACACAGACTTTTCAGAAGCAGCAGAAACGACTGTCCAAAGCAGAATGGGCTCCTGGGAACTGGCTCAGCCAGAACAAAAAGACCTAATTGTTTATGCTTCAAGTCTGGGTCTCTGACCTCTAGCTCCATTATTAACGCATAATGGAGCCTGAAAACCGAAGCTGTCACCTGAGCTCTGGCCAGATCGCTCCGGCAGGGGAGGTGGGGGGGAGGTGGGGAAAGCCTGGGGCAAACATGGGGGCCAGTCCAGGGATGTCCAGCCGGGAACCACAGCGAGGTAAAAATGACCTTTCTCCAGGTGTCATATATTTTGGTCAACCCACGTTCCCTTTTGGGTTTGAGTGACCAGGTGAATGCTGGGGCTCCCAGGTTATCTAGGGACAGTCTCACCCATTCACTTCACAGGCGGAGGCAGTGGCCCAGAGAAGTACAGAGAGTTGTTCAGGACGCCAGCTGGTCATATAAAACCAGCCTCGGTGTCCGATAAGAGGGACTTGGAGCACCTGCACCTGGGGTGCTCAGGAGACACTGTTGGGTAAAACACTGAAGCTGGTTGCGAAGTGTGCAGCATCCTCTCAGACGCTGAGGAGGAAGCTGAGTGGCTTCCTGGCAACCACTTTCTCTCCAGACCCAGTCACCTTCCCCTCGCTGTCCTCCAGGACTTGTAATGCGAGCAACAGCGGGGACCAGGGGAAACATGTAGGATGTCCCTTGCAGATTGAGAGCCTCCAGGAGGGAATTCCATTGGTAACGAGTTGGAAAAACTGTTAGATCTGATTCAGACGAAGTTTGACTTCTGTCAGGAGATGCCTGAAACCCAGATGGTTGGGAAGCGTTCACTTGCATTTCCTTGAACATGTGACCTTGTATATATCCATCTTGAGACCCAATCTGCTCCCAGTTTAAGGCTTGGGGACTCCCATATTGTATGTTAATTCTAATTGAAAAATGAATAATAATAAAAAGGCCTGGGAACTTCAGAACTCTTTGCAAAAGGTGAAATAAAATAGAACAGCTCAAATTGGGATTCTAGCCTTAGTATCCATTGCCTGATATTTCAACCTTGACTCACACTAGTGAGTTTATAAACACTTTATATGTTTGTTGAGTTATAATGACAGATAATAGAACACACAGATTAATACTTACCCGGCGGGGAGATGCCATGATCACAGAGGTGGTTTTCCCAGGCGAGGTTTTTCCATTGTGCTCGGTGTGCTGACCCTGGGATTTCCCCGAATGTGGGAAATCGGCTGCATGACATGTGGTAGTGGGGACTGCCTTCCTGCTCTCCCCTAAAAACAAAACAAAATGCACAGATGTCAGTGTGCGCTTTGGTGAGTTCTGGTAAGTATGTACACCTGTGTGAATATGACCTCAATCAAGATACAGTACATTTTTGTTGACCCAAGCAAGTTCCTTGGGCACACTGACAACGTACGTAAAATTCGAGATTATGCTGCAATAATTTTGGCTTAAATTTCAATTTGTTTTTAAATTTGGTGTATTTTCTGCTTTGTTTGTCAAAATGGACCATCTTTTTGTCCCGGTTATAAAATGGCTTGCTTTTTAATAGCAAGTTTAAACAATATAGAGGAATATAGAAAGAGAGACTCTCTCATAATTCCATCTACCAAAGAGAGAACGGTTGTTAATGGCCTAAGGTATATCCTTCTTGAATATATGTATGTCTCCGTTAAGCTTTTTAAAAACAAAAATAGCATCATTTTATACATGATGCAAACTGGTCCTTTGTTCTTCCCCACACAAATACTAGGTCATGGACAGCTTTCCTTACTAAGGCCTGTCTGTTATCTTCATTTACTTTGTGTGTCTGATCAGTCTTCACAGTGTGCTTTATAAGTCCACCCTCTTAGCCCCGTTGTAAACCCTGGGCTCAGGCTTCTGGGTGGGATCCCAAAGGCACTTGCATGGGGGTTCCTGTTACCAAGCTGGAATATCAGAACATTCTAAAACAGGCTGTTTGCTCCAGATTTATCATTCCCCTGCTCACCGGGGATTGCTGACCTCCTTCTCCCCTTGCTAATGAGAAGAGGCCCCCCAAAGGTCAAAGGTCGTGCATCAGGAAGGGTGGGTCAGGCCAGAAGGGGTTGGGGGGAGGCACCCGCAGCAGGCAGCGCAGCCTCTGCCAGGGCAGGTCTCACCTCCCGGCCTGTCTCCCTCCCTCCAGGCACATCCTCATCTGCCTGGCCGCCTACCTGGGCTGCGTGTGCTTCGCCTACTTTGATGCCGCCTCCGAGATCCCTGAGCAAGGCCCGGTCATCCGGTTCTGGCCCAGCGAGAAGTGGGCCTTCATCGGCGTCCCCTACGTGTCCCTGCTGTGTGCCCACAAGAAGTCCTCGGTCAAGACCACGTGACGGAGGGCAGGCTTCTCCGCCTCAGGCTTCTTGCCAGCAAAGACCCCTGGGGGGTCTCAGAGTTGGGGGTGGGGTCTATTTTCTTAAAAAATGCTATTCCCTTGGGCTTTCCCTGGTATGTGTGGACCCCAGGACTCCACTGCTCCCAGAGATGGAGCCAGTGGAGGGACTCAATGCCTCCTTCCTGCAGGTCTGTGGGCTCCTGACCCAGCCATTCCTGCTGACAGTCAGATCCTGCCAGACAACACCCTCCACCCTCTGTTGGAGGACACCAGGTTCCCATATGGGAGAGCCACACACACGCACACACATGCACACCCACAGGCACACCTGTGGCTAGGGAAGCTAGCTTTCTGCTTGTAGCGCCCAAACACCCGGGTTTCACATGCCTTTGTGGATCCTTTCACTTCTACCTCTGCTGAGAGATGGAGATCTGACAGGTGAGGGTAAAGCGAAGGAGAAAACCCCTCTATGCCAAAACGACTCTCCATTCGAAGCCATTTCTGAAGATGACAAAGGGTTTAAATACTGACAGTGTTGTCCCCCCGTCCAGCCCGGGAGCCTCAGACATACAGAGGGGTCGCTGGGTCCCTCCCCAGACCCCATCTCACTGCCTGACTTCTAACATCCCCGGAGCTGTGACAACCGTGAGGGTGGGCATCCGGGCTCAGAACTGGGAGCAGCCACGAAGTTTGGAAATGTGTTCTCATTGGACGCCTCCTGTATGCAGCCCGGACGTTACCTCAAGAACATCCCCATTCTTTCTCTGACTTTCGCTATGGTGGTGATCTCCACGCTCTCTGTAGATGCTCCGAGCACTGGGTCCGCAGCCTCCCGTGCTGGCAGGAACCACCACCGGCTGCTTGGGTCTGGGCTGGAGCAGCAGAGCGAAGCTGTCGCCTCTGAGTTTTTCTCACCTAAAGTGACACTGGTTACGACTAAGTCTCCTCTTCCCCGGAATGGACGGGAGACTCCACACCCTCATGAAGGTGTGAGGGAGGGATTCAAGACCTCAGGAATACTCATTCTCACTCGGGCACTTCCTGCTTTGCATCCTTCCCCGGTTCGAGGGCAGGGCAGGCTGCCCTTGGGTGGCCCGGAGACTCGCCACTGTCTCAGGCACCTCCCAGTGGGGCAGCACAGGGTGGGGTCTGGCCAGCAGCTGTTCCTCCGCTGGAATCTGCACAGGATCTAAGGCAAAACCCCACGGAAGAACGGAATTTGTAGTTTAAGAATGAATGACTTTATCTTCTCTGGTTTTCAAATTATGTTAGCAGCAGAACCCTGTTGGCAGTAAGAAATCTTTATGGAACCCCAATGTGTGAAGTGGGTTTTATCAGCTTAAATTTACTTTAAGGTTAAACTTACAGCAGTTCTTGAATCTATCAGGCAGTGAAAAGGCAAATTAACAATTTGGTGATTTTCAAGGTAGGAAAATGTGGTATTGAATGAGTGTACATATTGCTATACTGTAGTGTAAAAATATATTCTAAAAACTGTACTTGGGTTAAATATTTCAGGAACCTCTAACCCACCTCTATGCAGCCCAGGTGGTTCATGAGACAGAATTGGAAAACTGCCGAGTCCTTTGGGTTTCACGTCTAGAATTTCTAAAAGGGGAATGTCCTTTTAGACCGTCCTCTGCAGGTTGGCTTAGCAGGCGGATCCTGGCTTCGTCCATTCTGCATGATGAATGCCCCCAAGGAGGGGGGTTGGCGTGTTCTAAGTCCACCTGTCTTAGTGTGGGAGCGTACACCAGGAGAAGCAGAGAGGGAGGGTAGGATGTATCTGTGCGTGTGTGTGTGTGTCTGGAGGGTTCCTTAGCGAGGGGAGCATTGTCAAGGATGGACCATTTACCTCCATCAGATTCAGGGCTGCTTCCCTGGGGAACACTCCCTTCAGCTCCCAAGGTTTTGCCTTCTGGAAGTTTTGGGGTGCCCTTTGGAAACGGGGCTAAGCGGTGACTGCTGGAACTAAGCCTGACTCTCTGAGCACAAGAAAAGGACTAAGTTCAGATGTCAGGAGGAATGCTTCTCATAGGAAAACAATGCCCTGCTAGGGATTGGTTTTAATGCAACGAGGGCTGAGAAAGAAGTGGGGAGTGGGGTGTATTGAGGAGGGCAAAACATAACTCCACTGAACTGTAGCTTGCCAGTGTGGGATGGCAAATCAAGAGAGTATTTAAGTTAGGTGGGTGGTATCATTCATATTTATAGTTACATACATATTTATAATGCCTTGATAGCACTACTTGCTCTTTAAAGAAAACTGGGATACTACAAAATAGTCGGAGAGGTAATCTATTTCTATAGCTCAAGGACAACCATTAATATTTTGGTATATTTCCTTCTAATCTCCCCCCCCCCCCTCCTACCACAGTTGTACGTAGATGTTTTGTAGAGCTGATGGGCTGTCCTGTAGTTTGAACGGAATGTGAGTGGGAGTTGGGTATTTTGCACGAAGAGCAGGCCTCCACATGCACTTGCGTTAGCGCCACCCTGGAGAGCTCGTCACTGGATTCTGAGTCTGACTACTGCGTCTTCCCTGCTGACGGAGCCGCGCCTGGAGTCATGGACCGGATTCTACTGGATCTGCTTCTGCTCTGGGACTGACGAGTAATAGGAAGTAGTGTTAAAACGTGGCTCTAAGGTTTTGATGTTTGCCAATTTAAAATAAGTGAAGGACTTATTTCATTAGTGAATGTGCAATCAAGAATCTTTCTCTCCCACCTGCCAAGGAAGGAAGTGGAGGTTTCACACTTGGGAGTTAGGTCACGGCAGTTGCTCAGCATGGCTGTCAGATTTCTGTTCTGGGTAGAGTTTGCCCCAAATCAGTATCCAGAAGGAATGGATTTTGCATATCAAAAAGTGTTACCATGTTATTAAGTCAATGATTCTTATTGAATACTGTTTGATTGATTATTGATTTTTAGGAAAAGAAATATTTATCCCCTTGATGAGTATATTATTATAAAACAAACACTTCAGTGAAGGTGCCTGGGAGCAGGTATCTGAATCTCTTTGGTCACATGCTACATTTTGGGGAACTCTGTGCCTGTCCCTCTGAAGCATGTCTGGCTTGAGGGCCATCAAACACGGGCTTATAAAACACCATCACCCATTCTGATTATTGGGCTTCTCAGGCGGGTAAAGCATCTCACCAGTCCATCGTGCTTACATGAGCCAGTGCGTCTTGGCGGCCCCGGACTGGATTGGAGCCGCCCTGGCTCTCCTTCCCTTGGGCTGACCCGGGACCGCTGTGAGGGACAGGTGAGGGTGAAAGCTGGCCTAGCCAGAGCCCTGACCAGAGCTCCTTTTCTCTAGATGGACCTGGGACCTTTCCTAGCCAGCCTTTGCCTGGGTGCTGCCTCTAGCTGGCCAGAGACACGTCTCGGGCCAGGTTGGGATTCCTCATGGATTTTATAACATCATTCTCCTATGGACTTTTTTTTTTCTTCTTTTCTTGAATGGCTCCTACTATAAGCGACTAGTTGTTTGAAATGTATCTTTATATGTTAAGACAGATTTAAGAGTATTTTATAACCACAATTTGTAATTAGAATATAGTATTTTCAGATATATTCTTTCTATAGTTTATACTTTATGCCGAGTATGTGCTGTGTAAGGTGTGTGCCCACTGGCTGCGGTGGCATGCAACTCTGTTCTTTGGGAGACGTGTAAGGCCTTTTGTAATGGAGCTCTTGCACCATTCGGTGAACTCTGACAGCTCTGTTTCATAATAAAGCTGTGATGGCATTTTCTGTGGGTAAATATGTATGCTTGTAGTTATTTCCACAATGGCTTTGAAATGCCTGTGTAAAAACGCATTAAATGGATTTATAGCAAAGCACATTTACGCAAATTCATTCATTTAAAAAAATACTTTTTATCAATTCCTGAGAGGAAGGGAGAGAGAGGAAGATAAAAATATCAATGAGAGAGAATCATTGATCGGCTGCCTCCTACATGCCTCCTACTGGGGATGGAGCCTGCAACTCGGGCATGTGCCCTGACCAGGATTGCACTGTGATGGCCGGGTTCATAGGTCAACGCTCAACCACTGACTCACAATGGCCAGGCCCAAGTTCATTTGTTAATTTGGATTACCACTGTTACAAAACATACTTAAAATTAGTGTAATTGTTAGTTTCTGCTCCGAGCTATGAAATTAATACATCTAGACATTTCCAATATATACTACCTAAAAGCAGATTACTTTGATTAAAAGTTCTATAATGATGTCAGGTGGATATACAATCTCAAATACAGGAAATAACTCATCTGTGCTATAGTACTGGGAGGAAGATCATATGACATTTCAAAATAGTAAGTGACTGTAGCAGGAAAATTCCTTATCAACCCATTTTTCTTAAAATTTTTGTGTTTTTTAAAAAAATATATATTTTATTGATTTTTTTACAGAGAGAAAGGGAGAGAGAGAGAGCTAGAAACATTGATGAGAGAGACACATTGACCAGCTGCCTCTTGCACACCCCCTACCAGGGATGTGCCCGCAGCCAAGGTACATACCCCTGACCGGAATTGAACCCGGGACCTGTCAGTCCGCAGACGGATGCTCTACCACTGAGCCAAACCAGTTTCGGCAAAAATTTTTGTGTTTTCAATGAAATCATTCAAAGGCCATCATGTTTTAACGGGTGCTATGACCACTGGAGAGGAACGACTGGACTAGCACGGTCAGTACATTACAGGGACCAGCTTTCCCGGCAGGGGCGAGGGGGCCAGGAGCCTTCGGACAGCCCTGGGGAAGCAGTGCATCTTCTCTAGAGGAACATGCCCAGGCACTGTCATTCTTTGGACATTCAGATGTCCCTGGAAGCAACCCAGGTTTATAAACAGACAACCCTCCTGCACTAAGCCAGGATTCAAATCCTCCTGCTGAAATTGTCTGCACAGCTCAGCTTTCTGACCGTCCTCTGAGACCAGCACTCCCCACACGCCCTCTCTTGTAAGACTATATTATAAGGGGCCAACGGGTGG